CCCCGCCAACAACGCTGTATCCAGTTCTCTTTATACATCCATGTACTTAACTGAAGATTTTGTCCCTCACAATGTCATCTAAGTAGCTTAATCTAATTTAAAAATGTTGACTTCAACACTTCTACTACGTTTGTTTCTGCCACAAATCTTATCAATGATTTATACCAACAGACAGACACATTTATTACTGAGAGCTAACTTGCTGCTATCACATGCAAATTGCAACACTTGCAAGTCCAGCCGTGTTTGGTTCCTTCCTACCTCCTGTGCATTGATGGAGTGCAGGCCGTTGACAGGCCAGTCCACCTCAGGTAGCGGGGATCCAGAGCCGTTACAGATGGCCGTTACTCGATCCCCCTCTTTAACGGTGAGGTTGCTGTGGCTGACGCTGATTTCTGGCAGGTCTGAAAGCAAAGAGAGACAATGAGATGGAAATAAAGTCCACACATGTAGACAGAACATGCAGGATGTATATGTGAGCTTCAGGAGATGTAAGGTTTCATTAGGGACAAATGGGCTTGGAGCTGAGAGGTAGACGTCCTGATACATTGTTGGCTTTGTTTTCTGTTTATTGTTGTCGTAAGATTTATAAAAAAAAAGAGAACACAATAATCCTATTAAAACCATTTTTAGCTGTTACAATTCCCAATCATTAAGGTCAAGGGTTTGTATGTCTTTGCTAGTTTTCACACTTACCACAGCTGCTAATGTTCATAACCTGCAGCACTTTTATCTTCAAGCTGTCATCACATTCTAACTGTTGGCTGCTCAGCCCCGCCTCCCCTCTCTGTTGCCATAGCTGCAGCCAGCGAATCTCACAGCCGCAAGTAAACACCACCTCCTCTAAATGCCTGGAGAGGAAAAGACAGAAATAATTAAATAATTGGCGGTGTTAGAATATGTGACATATTCCTGTTTAAAATGCTCAGCAGAGTAACAAACCCAACAAATTACAAATTACAGCACTTCATTAAACGCTCACACGTATACACAAACACAATCGTGGGATTACTGGAAGCTTCACATATTGGTGATTATGTTCAGGGGTTAAGTTGGGATTTGATATGTGGGGGGGCTCTGTATGGAGGTGCGAGAGGGGCGGAGGTCGAGGATCTCATTATTTGACCTTAAGGGATATACACTGTGGCCCTAAAGCAACTGCTCCATTATCTGTATCAAATGCACACATTGATGCCACCAAATGTCACAATAAAAATATAAAGTAGGCTACTACAAATAAACTGGAATTCATTTACATCTTAAATTATTAATATATATATACACAAAAAACACAAATATCCAACCTTCAAATTGCTTTTTTAAATCAACACTGCTCTGCACACTTGCTAAAGAACATTTGTGTGGAAATCTCAATTCATTTGTAGGACTGCGTGAGTATGGCCAAAAGTATGGGAGTAAATCTCACTGTAAACTATTTAATCATCACCAATTCTGTGTTATTATGACCGATCATAACTCAGATTTATGCAGACATACATTTAGCATGGTGTACAGGGCCGGTTTTTGGCATAGGCGACATAGGCGGTCGCCTAGGGCGCCAGATCTGGAGGGGAAAAAAACCTTTTTGACTGTTTGCGCTCATCCTAATTTTCAGCCTTGATGTAACAACATTCATAATTAAGTAAAGGTAACACCCTTTTCACCCCGGTTACACTTTTCATTTGCCCTGTACGATGGGCGCTGTAAGTGATGAAATGGGGGGTGTTGGCTTATCAGGCGCCCGCAGCTCACAGCCAAAGTGGGCGTGGGAGCGAGCGAGAGAGATAAATGCAATTTATGTAAACAAATATTTCCAAGGCACTCCTTTATAATTATTTGGATAAACAGGTTTGAAATCATTTCAATGTATACTATAGGACAGTAAACCAAAAATATCGTTTAAAACTTGAGATATAAAAATATGCATAAATACATTTTAACTAGGTAAAATAAGATATGAATGAACAACAAAAATAAAATAAGTTACATTTATTTGTTATTGGCTATGGTAGGTTATTGGTTATGTTCACATATTTGATTATTAAAATGTAAACCGATCTTTTTAATATGGTTGTTTAGAGTTGTACCCCCTAGATCTAGTCTCTAGTAATGTGTGCTTAAAGTGCACCAGATTGAAGCATTTTACTTTACATTTTCAAACATTTCTTCACACACACACACACACACACACACACACACACACACACACACACACACACACACACACACACACACACACACACACACACACACACACACACACACACACACACACACACACACACACACACACACACACACACACACACACACACACACACACACACACACACACACACACACACACACACACACACACACACACACACACACATATACACACACACACACACACCGCTGCAGACTCTGCACGAAGGAGCCGCGGTGCTGCAGCTCCTGATCGGAGCAGAGACACACGTTCACTAAGCGGAAAAACTATATCATGTCACAGAGATCTGCTATTTTAAAGTAAAGTCAACACATATCGACCCTAAATAAAGTCTATATTAAGAACGAGAGATGGTTTAATATATGGCTTAAACAAATGACAAATGAGCGAGGGTGATGACGTCAGAGCATCGTCCTATGTGCCGGGGCTGAGCCCCGGACAGCCCCGGCCCAATTTAACCCCTGATTATGTTACACCTAAGTGGTATTTTCTTTATAAAAAGGTTAAATTATTTATAATTTGTCATAATTCAGCTTGCATTTCAGATGGTGTTTCGCTTCTGAGAGGAGAAAATGCTTATTATACAGTTAAACGACAATCCCATTCAAATTAGGAACAGTGAAACACTACTTGAATGTGTATTTTCAGAACAGTTGTTTTTTGGTCTCACCACTAACCGTAACTGCCTTCCATAAGTGTAATACAGTTTCAGAGGCCCTATTATGCTAATGTTCATCGTATATATACATACTGCCCGTGCTGCAGCACCTCTGTTCACCCTCTGTCTGAAACCAGAGCCCAGTCTGCTCTGATTGGTTAGCTGGCCGGCTCTGTTGTGCTTGGTCAACCGCTTAGAGATGTCCCGGCCCTTAGCCTATCATGTACAATGTGTTGGAGCGTAAATAGTGGTGCAAGTCTTCTATAGTGATGTTGTTACTATGTTACAGAAGTAAACAAAGGAGTCCAATGGAGGCATTTCAGTCAGGGTGGGGGAGCGTGTGGGAGAGAAACTCCCTCTGGAGGGACATTTGAGAGTTTAGCTTTATATAGAGTCATTTGCTACTTACTTGTATACCTCTTTTACAGTAAACTTGTCTAAAAGTCAATGTATATATATATATATATATATATATAGCCCAGTGGGCTTTACAGTTTGTACAGAATACGAGTATGACACCCTCTGTCCTTTGAACCTCACATCGGACAAGGTAAAGAATTCCAAAGAAACCCCACAGCTAATGGGAACAAATGTGAGGAACCTCAGGGAGAGCAATAGAGGAGGCTCCCTCTCCCAGGATGGACAGACGTGGAACAGGTGTTGTGTGTAAATTCAAAAGATAATACATTGTCAACATAGTCAGTCCAAATGCTAGAAAAATCATGTGAAAAAGATGAAGATGGATCCAGTTTGAGCTCGACAATCATCTGGGTGCCATCAAAGAATAACAGGATCGATAACAGCTTATCGGTTTTTGTTACTGACCAATCAGGTAAAGATACCAATTTAGAACTGGTTCTCGATACCCATCCCTATTTGTCATGATCTCATGTTTTGTGGTTCTGTTTTCAGTTTTCTTCTTCTATGACTTGCCTGTGTTTATTTCCTGTCTTTGTGTGGAACCTGTTTTGTTTCTCTTTATAGCAGAGTCACACAGGGTGTGGGGGACACAGGGTGTGGGGGACACAGGGTGTGGGGGACACAGGGTGTAGGGGACACAGGGTGTGGTGGACACAGGGTGTGGTGGACACATGGTGTCACCCCTATTTGGAAGCGAAGCAGGATATCCAGACTTAGAGCAGGTTCTCTTTAAGGTCAGGCAAACATTGGTTTCTTTTAACCATGGCCACAAAGGTTACTGTTGGGAAAAGGCATGACAAAAACAAACTCCACCGTCAAAGTCAGACACTTTGATGACTCACCCAGGCACCTAAATCCTCCATTAAAGCACAGTGAAACCCAAAGGTATCATTATTCTGACTGCTGGTATTGATTTTGTGTTAAGCTTCTTTTACACTCTGCAGTTCTCTGGAACAAACACCATTCTGACCTGAGATCTGTCTTCAGATGTATTCTCATCTGTTCTATTTTTAATATCTTTTGGAGGATGGATGTTTTTCTTCTAGTTCTCTTGTTTTTCATTCATGTTCGCACTTCATGTATTGATTTATTTTGAACATGCATTTAAGTGTTTGAAGGACTCAACAATGCAATAGCTGTATTTTTCTGTTTAAAGCATTGAGTGATTTGGTTTCTAAATACAAAACTTTTCTCCAGATGGTCAACTTTATGATAGGTAATGATGCCAATGTAGGGACGCTGACACCAGCTTGATCAGCCTCGGTTAGTCTTTGGAAGGCAACACCTGCTCCATCCTTTCTCTTCTGCCTCCAGCACCTCTCATTATACTCTCACATTCTTTCTCCTGTCTAAAGTCCACAGACATCAGCACATGATCAAGAAACACAGCTCAATGATCAAGAAATGATCATTGAGTTGGGCCCCCTGAACAAAAACACACCTGTATGCTATCATGGCTCCAAATCAGTGGGACAAGCTCCCTATTGATGTCAGGACAGCTGAAAGTATACAGATATTTCAGCACAGGATAAAAACACACCTGTTTCAATAAATAATTAATTAAATTAAACTCTCTACTTAGAAAGGTTTAGCTTATTTCAAGCCAATGCAGCTGTACTTAAAATGGTTTGGCTTCTTGAAAAAAAAAAAAAGCATCAGTTAAAGGTGGGGTAGGTAAGTTTGAGAAACCGGCTCGAGATCGGTAGAATTTGAAAATACACAACCGGAGAAAATCTGCCACTTCCTTACAGAGCCCCTCCTCCAACACACACGAACGCGCACATGACCAATGAGGGCACGAGATAAGTTTGTGCACAGATGGAAGGCTGACAGGCAGGTAGGCCATCCAGTTATTTTAGCCGGGCCGGCTAAAATGATTGGTCGTGCTTTTTACAGTACTACATGTGCACGTTCGTGTGTGTTGGAGGAGGGGCTCTGTAAGGAAGTGGCAGATTTTTTCCAGTTGTGTATTTTCAAATTCTAGGGCACTCGAGCTGGTTTCTCCAAAATTACCTACCCCACCTTTAAATTAAATGTTATACAATGTGCATTAAATGGGACATCCTCACTCCTTATGCAACATTATGAAACTACAGTTTAATTTAAATGAATTTGAAGTGAAATAGTATGGATCTCTGTAGGTTGATCTCCTGCCCGCTGTTACATGTATGTTTGATTGAGTTTTCATGGCCTTTGTGGCTACAGCGGTCAAACAGGGAAATATAGGATTATTATTGAGATGAAGCCACATGGTCAAGAGCACCTTTACCTTTTGATGCTTCATCTTTGCACAAACTACAGAAATCAAACCGCAGCCTCACAGACCCAGAAACAAATTACAGTCAACGCCTGCACACACCACCAGTTAAGATAGCCTATTTAATTATTTCTAATGAGGTAAGGGGATTCAGTCATTTGGGAGAAGTAAATCACTTTGAACCTAACCCTTAGTGCATCGAAAAGATGTATGTAATTGACAAATAGCAAGCAATCTACAAAGTTCTAGCTTTGAGAGAGAGGATGCAGTACGCTACCGTAGCTTATCAGTTTAGAGCTAATCAGAT